CCCCTTTTGTTGGTAGGAAGGTGGTAGTCATCTTGTATGAGCCCCCATAATAGTTCCCTCGAGCTCCTCTTTCTGATTTCTTCTGATCTTACACCAATTGCGCCAGCCCCATAGCCTTCCCTAGGTTCCACGGCTCCAACACCCTGACTGCTGATCGGATCTCCGATTTCTGCCCTTTCATGAAATGACCTTCCAAGGCTGACTCTGAAATGTGATCTAATCTGCTAGCCAAGTACTTGAACTTGTCCCGATATTCTGTCACTGTCCCCTCCTGAGTCAGAGCAAAGAATTGCTCATAGAAGTCTCCTCCCCCATCGGCTCGGAAATTCTCTAGTAAGCAATCCTTGAACTCTCTCAAACTCCGGATGGGCTCCCTCCTATCATGCCACTGAAGGAAAGGCCAGGCCTTTCCTTCCAAACATAGTACCGCTGTCGTCAGCTTTTCTTCCTCTGTCAACCCGTTGACAGCGAAGTAACGCTCCACCTTGTAGATCCAACCATGGTCATCCTCACCCTCAAAGACGGGCATCTTCAGCTTCCTCACCTATGGATCTCCTCAGTTTCCCCGGTACCTCCGTAACCTCCCATTCCTCGAAGGAGAGAGTTCCCCAAGTGTCCCGATCATCCCTCCGACGGTTATACTCAAATCCCTCTTCATATTCTTCTCTTCTCCCTTCAAATCATCACCTCGACGCTGAATTCCTTCAAATTCAGCACCTCGACAATGACTTTCCTCCCTTCTTCCTTCCAAAACAGCCCCTCGATGTTGAATTCTTTCATATTCAGCATCTCGGCGATGAAATTCTCTTCTTCCCCCTTCAAAATCAGCACCTCGATGCTGGATTATTTCAAATTCAGCACCTCGGCGATTGAATTCTTCCCTCCTTCCGACCAAATCAGCCTCCCGTTGGTCGTATCCCCTACTCCTCTCTTCTCTAGAAAGCGGTTCTAGAGTGGGTATGTCATTATCCTCCTCCAAGATCTCCACCTCCGAATTCCTCCTTCCCCATAACAGGTTCGGATTTTCCTCCCATGACATGGCCGTCGGTGGTCTCTTGTACTTCCGATGTCGCCGGATTGGTCTTCATTTCAAGTAATTTCTTCATCATTTCTTCCATCACGGTGAACTTCCCCTCCAACCTTTCATTGTTGGAGGTGATTTGACTTTGGAAATCAAAAAATCTTCCCTCGAAATCGGATTTCAATTGTCCGATTTTGCCTTCCAAGACTTCTACCTTCTTCCCTGCCATCGTTCTTCCCAAGAATCTCAAAGATCTTATTCCGGGAACGAAGAAGCTGCTGAAATTTTCAGGATTTCAGCTGCCAACGGTCCCAAAAACGACGCTCTGATACCAATTTGATAGGAATTACTAACATTCACAAGTATTCCTAACCCAAATCAGTAAATCAAAACAATTTTGTTGCTGTCCACAGCAGAAATCAGCCACAAAATAGGGAGAAACAAGAGATATTCACTAAAAATCTGAGAGAAAACGAAGCAAATCTCTTGTATTCCAATAGAAGATGCAAAACAACAAGCAAAGATACAATTACCTTCAATTCGAGAGGAAGGAATTACTCTCCACAATCTCCGGCAACTCCAAGAGCCCAAAACAAATCCTAGATCTCAAACAAGATTCAAATTCAAGATAATCCCCAATTCCCCCCCAATCCCCTAATTAAACACAAAGGACAATTAAGAACTTCCTAAAACAGCCTCACATATTCAAAATTTCCCTCCTAAGATGAAATAAGCAAAGCCTGGCCCACCTCTAAATCCCGCCCCCCTTTTTCTCTGTTCCGCTGTGAATACACATGGACCGGTCCAGCCCGCCCCTCCTGCGCCGACGGCACATCAAAAAAGTTATGGCAAGCCAAGCAAATTGGAAGAGTAGAATCCACTTTAATCTTATACCTATAATCAAGGGATTGTGAATTTTTAGGAGGAAAATAGAGTGGCCAATCATATCACTTATTAATCAAGCCTAAAGATAATTGAAATATAGAAAAAAAAATCTCAAGAGTCCCATACAAAAATAACAAATTAAAAGTTGAAATTTCAAAATTTTTGGGCTAAAATTTTAAAATTCAACTTCTCATTTTTATTATATTCTTTTGAGTTCCATAGCAATAATCTTTAGTGATGCTTACTTAATGATGACCTCCAAACTCTTTATCACATTTTAAGCTCTTGATTTTGAAATCTTGTAGTGGAGCCTTCAAAATAAGCCTGATATTCTATATCATATTCCCAGTTGAAATGGATCAAGAAAGTGGAGAATTATTTTGCTTCGCAACCTAAGTTTATGCTTAACAATAACCAAAATGATAATGTCTAAGAAACTTGCCTAAGAAATCAGATTGGGAATACCATGAGATGAGTACCCTTGGACTTACGATGTCAACATCTACAACCACTACTATACATGCTCCTCGAATAAGGGGCAGCTTGTAGAACGTCATCAAATAAAGGTAACTTATATATACAGAAAATATGTCCTATGCAAACTGAAGGATATAACAAATCTTCTGACAGGTTCCTGCCTGCGTCAGATAATCTCAATAAATAGCAATTATCTCTCAAAGACTGCATTGACTAATGCCAGAAAACCAACATTTAACACCATTATGCCTTTTTTTACACCTTTAGTTACGCTCAATCCATCAAGTAGTGGGCAAAAAGATCAATGAAAACTTCATGCTTGGATGGATAGTTAATATAACAATGTTCCCATAATCAAAAGGACTACATTAAAGCATCGCAAAACGTATCCCATGTTGGCCTTTCATTTGTTCTTATTCTCCAATCTACTTAAAACAAAAAGCTGATCTGATCCTGATTATCAACACAAATAAAGCGCTTATGAAATAATTTAAATATTCAAACAAAATAAATAGATGATATTTAAAGCAAAAAAGAAGTAAATAAGATTTGTAGATTGGCAATAGCTAGCTCATGCAAAAGATGACACAAAGATTAGATGAAAATATGGTGCAACTTTTAGAAACCAAGCCTTTTCAGGTAAAAAAAGTTCATCTTCATCACTTTTCTATTCCTGCTTCATGTTGTTAAGTTTAGCGTATCCTCGTCTTAGCGTGAAATCAAAAATCCTGCAACCTACTAAGATCCTAGACATCGCAGCCTATTGGAACTTTTCCCAGTCCTTTGCCTCATTGATATCTCACCAATAGGAAAAATTATTCTATGCGGACGCCGAACGTGGTTCGAAGACAAACCAGAATGCACCACATCACCCCTTCGCTCAATACCGCGGCTCAATACTGCTCAGTACAGCTCGATACTGCTGATGTGACTGCATCTGATTAGCCGCAGGACGTAGAGTTGCGTCCGACCTACGCATAGAATAATTTCTCCACCAATAGGTGTCACACGTTAAATGTGCAATCACTTGGCAAGCTGACATACATGAAACATTAGCTTGCCATCTGTTATAATAACACATTAGCTTGCCATCTGTTACAAGTTATTATTTAATATATTTGAATATATAATATATAAAATATAAGATATTATATTAGAGTCATACATATATATAAATATATATATATATATATATGCATGGATACTATCCCTTTTTTCGCTCCCAATTACTATGAAAAGAATTTGAACTTCTACTTATTCCGATAGCAACAAAAGATCTTCATATTATGCGGGCTTTCAGAAGTGGTTTACTACCAAGTATAGTTATGTAGTTTTCGGCCAATCTATCTTTTCAACAAATAAATGGAAGCTTGACCTATCAATATCTATGTATTGGGCCGTCAATAATGAATTTTTATTAGAGTTCGGATACTTTATTGATCCACTTACTTCTATTGTGTCGATACTAATTACTATAATTGGAATCATGATTTTTATTTAAAATTACAATTATATCTGAATATCAAGGATATTTGAGATGTTTTTCTTATAAAAGTTTTTTCAATACTTCAATGTTGAGATTAGTTACTGGTTCCAATTTTGGGCACTAGGGGGAATGTGTTCACATTAACTGATAGGCTTTTATTACATTGTTTCCAACATTTACTACATCAATCTGTCGAAATTGATGATTACTTATATTAATTATGTAGCTTCTTAAGAGCTATATATTGGCTAATATCAAGCCACAATCAAGATATAGGAAACCTGCATTATTTTACTAAAAGCATATTGTGGTAAGATTAAGCCGTTCAAAGAGGATGTTAGTTCCTCTAGCTTAAGTTATGCTTTAGCAAAATATATCCTTGGCTCTTCAATTGAGTCTTTTGAATCCTTTATTGGGATTTAGAGAATACCTAATTAATTAGAGGAAGAAAAAAACCTAAAATAGTTTCTTGATTATTTGTATTTAGCCAATTTAGTTACAAGAGTATCACATTTCTTCAAATTCCACCGATGATATAAAATTGATCCCAAATTAGTCCCTCTAGCACTAAATTAGGATAAAAATTTTATGACCAAAGGACTAAATTCGGATCAATTTTGTATCCTAAATTTTGTCAATTTTTTGTGAGGAACTATTTGGGATAAGTTTTATATAGTCGAGGGATTAAATCGGAGAAATATAATACTCTGGAACTAAATTAGCCATAAAAATAGTAGAGACACTATTTTAAGCCATTTACCTAATTAAATCATTATGAGAAAAAATAAAAAAAATTATAAAAGAATATTAATGAACAAAACACAACAAGATTTTTCAACATGATTACCAGATTAATGACTACATCTAGTTGTCAGATGTTGCCACTATAGATTCAACTATTATTTTCTAGTAATGTTTCACATTCTTAATTTCTCAACATAAAATATAAAGGCATCCTATAATTGGATGCTACCGTTATAGTCAACTATGATTTTATTATTAGTAATTTACAACCATAATTTCTTAGACAAAATATCTTGATATCCTAAAGAAAAACATGTGAGAATATTTTTGTATGCATTAAACATCTAATAACAGAGTAAATGTTTCAGATTAGGTGGAAAGCCTTACTTCTGCAACATAATATGTACCACGTTGACCATTTGCTGGAATTTCCCTGGAATGATCCACCTTGGTATTTAGATTCTCATTATTTTTGTTTTCTGGGGATTCTGCAGAGTGATTTATCTTGATATCATCGGATGCATTCTCAGTATCTGCAAATGAGCCACTAGATTGACTGTTCCTATTCTCTACATTTTCATTTGGAGCCGTGGCATCAATATCGGCAGTTGGCAGATGTTGTTTAGTCTGATTTGTTAAATTTGAAGCAGATTCATCCTGAGGCTTTAATTGAACCATCTATGATAAAAAAAGAACACATTAGGTACTAGTAGGATTATGAAACAGATGCAAGCAATCAGGACATGTCGACTGCAACTGTCAAGGATTCAAGGCTAAAAATACTAGAAAGGCCAATAAATACCAGCACAATTTGATGCGGACATCTTATTTGGAAAATTTTTATTTAAATATTCTTCATGTATTTTGAGTATTTTAAATGTTATCATGTATTTTCTGATTTTTGTCCTTGTATGTGGGTATTTGTGATGTGTGTGCCTATGGGGCAAGTTTTCTTTATGTCTTTCCCTAGTTGCCCTCACTTATGTGATGTGTCATGTCTTTAAGTTAGGCATGATGGTATTTTGGTTGTCATGAGGATTTTGGCTATAAATAGCCCTCCTCTCCTCTTGTAATGCATGATGATTGATATATAAAAAGAAAAATTCTGGTTTTCTTGCTCTTTGTGAGTTGTTTGTGAGTTTTCCTCCATTCCTTAGTGGGTTGGATGAAGGTAAAGTCCTTTGGTTATGAAGGCCACGTAACACCCCAACAGTTGGCGTGCTCTTGGGTTCTATCCTTTCAATTTTCTTATTATTTTTTTCTTTCTCTTTGTTGCCATTCTTCTCTCCTTGCTGTCACATTTTTTTTACACTCAAAATAGTCCACTTTCACTAGCCGCCACCCCCCCCCCCCCTAAAAATACTAGCAAGGCCAATAAATAACAGCACAATTTGATGCGGACATCTTATTTGGAAAATTTTTATTTAACTATTCTTCATGTATTTTGAGTATTTTAAATGTTATCATGTATTTTCTGATTTTTGTCCTTGTATGTGGGTATTTGTGATGTGTATGCCTATGGGGCAAGTTTTCTTTATGTCTTTCCCTAGTTGCCCTCACTTATGTGATGTGTCATGTCTTTAAGTTAGGCATGATGGTCTTTTGGTTGTCATGAGGATTTTGGCTATAAATAGCCCTCCTCTCCTCTTGTAATGCATGATGATTGATATATAAAAAGAAAAATTATAGTTTTCTTGCTCTTTGTGAGTTGTTTGTGAGTTTTCCTCCATTCCTTAGTGGGTTGGATGAAGGTAAAGTCCTTTGGTTATGAAGGCCACGTACACCCCAACAATTGGCGTGCTCTTGGGTTCTATCCTTTCAATTTTCTTATTGTTTTTTTCTTTCTCTTTGTTGCCATTCTTCTCTCCTTGCTGTCACATTTTTTTACACTCAAAATAGTCCACTTTTCACTAGCCGCCGCACTTCCCCCGCCCCCCTCTCCAAACCCTTCCACAACATGCCCGTCCCCACACCCAGCAAATGAACTCTATCCCACCTCCCTTAACCAACCGCTACCCCAAATCATCCAAATCCAGTAACCACCGAGAGCCCTACCTCCACCACAAAATCAGCTCCCCAACTCCCAAGCCTTCAAAATGACTTTTCATATCCTTTGACCCTTCACATTCCACCAAACCTTAATTAGACTTTCAAATTCTGAAATCTAATTAATTTTAGAGTTTTCCCAAGCCACCTCACCCCTCCCAAAATCAGCCATTAATTCTCCCTCCACTTTTCCAAACCTTTCCATTATGACATCCACTTCCAATGTCATTTAATGAGCCATCTCATTAACTATTATTCCCTTTACCAAAGCTCCAATTAATTTCTCAACTTTCTCAGGCCTCCTCATTAATCCTATCTCATTTCCCTAGTCCCACTTAAATGTTATTAAGTGCAGCCATAACTTCTCCCACTACTCATACACCCTTTCCTATATGCTACCATTAAGTGTTGGGCTGCTATCTTATGTTGCTGGTCTGTTCCATAACACCCTCCCAACTGTGCCCTTGCTGCTACCCGAGGTTTCCCCTTGCTTCCCACGCCAAATCGCTGCTATTTTATCATGTTTTCGACTATGAACTTGACGAAATTCAAGAGTGATTGATAAAGGACACATGAGGCTTCAATCTAAGGTAATTTTCCCTACATATCTCTCTAGTGCTTGTTGTTTTAGGTGGTAATTTATATTGGAACTTAAATCTTAATTTTTTGCACATTTCCATATCCCTACTTGAGTGTATGTGTGAGGTGAACCTAAGTAGTGAAACATTCAAATATAAACATTGGGACTTTATTCCATGCTTCACAAGATATTTATTTTGCTCATTGAGTGAGATGTTTGGCATGCAATTAGTTTTTCTTTTCATTTAGTAAATTGCTATTTCTAAATCCTTTAAACTTTCTTTTCTTTTTCAATCAACCTGCTATTTTTCTTTTTTTCTTTTTTTTTTTTATAGCTCTTTACACCCTCACAATCACATGCAAAATAACCACCCGTGGGTTTGTCCTGCATCATCTGGTATCAGAGCATGGTTGCCTAGTTGCATGTGCTAGGACCCAACCCATTTTCACTTCAAGTGTGTGCTGAAGTTTTTGTTCAAGTGCTGCCCCCTTGAACCATCTCACCCTTTCTTCACTTGAGCCGTCCAAAATGTTTATATCTTATGTGTGTTTGTTGTCCTGACAATTTCAGCACCCTTAACCAACTTTTGGAGTGTGTTTTCCCTTGTCTTTGTGCTGCCCCTTGCACCCAATCATCATTAGGTATCACTTAGCGCTTCCCAATGGACCCGATAAGACTTCAAAAAAAATGTTCTAGTTAATCAAGTGAGCTATCTAACTAAAACCATAAAGGAGAAACATGTTGACTCCCCCCACTCTAGGTATGTGTCTCAATCTATCAATCATGTAGTCGGAAGATTACTTACTATGCTTATCAACATAGTACTGAGCCCAAGCCGCAACGACCTCACTTGGAGTCGCTAAACCGTTTGCCTACCTTTGATGGTTCTTCGGAACCTTACTACTTTAAGGAATGGGTTAGACAATTAGAAGACTATTTTGAATCACATCATATTCATAAGTCCCACCAGGTTAGTATTGCTAAGTCTCGCCTAAACAGTCATGCTAGTCAATTTTGGATGAGATTGGAAGATCATAAAGAGTCTTGTGGTGAATACCCTAATTCTGATTGGAAGGACATGAGACGATAACTTAAATTAAGATATATTCCCTCTACTTATGACCAACCCTCTGATTCTAAGATTAGGTCACCACCTGTTCATCAGACTTTTTGGTACTACACTCTGAAGAACCCTCCACGTGAAAGTCAGTCCTACTCACCTTTTACACTCTATTCTGATATCGTGACTCCCAATCCTCACCTAGTGGCAGTTACTCACTCCCCTACCTCTGTGTTTACCCCCAAGCCTGCCCAACATACTACTCCCACTCATGTATCTGTTTCTAATCAAGGAGTGCCACCAACACTAGTGATCTTCATCTGAAACACCACCCTACCTCTTCTGTTGGGCCAATCCGTGGACATCATTGTGGTCGAGTCCACCCATCCCTTAGTAACATCAGGGTTGCTACCCCACCCTGTAGGTCGTCACCTAGCCTTGATGGCAGACCCTCTATTGAGTTTTCTGTTGGATCGGTCCCATATGACTCTCCACTTGGGCAACTCCTAGCCATCCCAGTCAACTTTGTCTGAGCTCGCATCCTCTATGTGTGGTGGACCCTAATTTACCTCACCTTGAGGGTGACTTTTCCACCTTTCAACTTAATGTGAATTCTGAGGCTACCCAACCTTTGGCATCACCAGTCCTTGACCCTACAAGTGTGATTTTAACAAAGGAATGCATTAAAAAGAAAGAGTCCCCTAAACCTAAGACTGATTGCATCCATTTCGTGGATGCTAATGATATCATTGATAATGATGACTTCTTTGAGGACAAAACTGAAGTGATTGAATTAGATTCCCTGCATGACTTAAACCCTGATTTAGAAGATTTAGAACATTTAAACTTAATGTCTTAGCTCATCCCGATCCTAATTTCATTAAGGATATCCCTTCGGATAAGGTCTTTCTGGATGATATTAATTTGATCTCGAATGATACTGATCTGACCTTGAGTACAATGAAATTAAATTCGGAAAACATTAATTTGAATATGAATGATTATGAGCCTAATTTGAAAAATGAGCATCTCGTTTTATTTTATTTTTTTGGAGTCTATTTTGGGAGTTGCTCCTTTATATTTGCATTTGGAAGAGTGTGTCTTTCCTGATTGGGCTTATCCCACTATTTCCCGTACCAACTTTAATGTTAGAGAGTGTATTAACCCATACTTTTCTGTTATCTCTCTAACTGTTGTGCCCACATCTGTTCTGGACACTCTTCCCCATCTTTTGAGTCTCATACCCGCTGTTGACTCTTTGGGCCATCCTCTTGTGGTTATGGATCAGGACCCCTTGTCTTATCATATTCTTGATTCCTCCAATATGCCCTCCATGTTCTTGTCCTTCTCTGTTAAGGCCCATCTCTCTCCTAATTGGATGAATTTGCTACATTACCCTGCTGCCCCTAGGAGACTATATGTCACCTTAGTTGAAACTCCCTATGGAGATGTCCTTTTAGCTAAGAATGTCTTCATTGCTCCTCCTACACCAGTTCCCTTAAAGATGAAAACCTTTTGTCCTCTCATTTTGTGATTATTCCTTCTTTATTTCTATCTCTGTGTGCTTGTGAGCCAGTATATTTTTGTGTATTTCTCTTAGGTCTGTTTTCTTCCAAAAATCTTCCTCTGTTTAAACTTTTGTGTGCCGACAATTCATGTCAATTATTATACACACCAATTCTCTTGCATCACATATTTCTAATATTACCTATCTTGTTGAGTTTTGAAGTTTTGACACATGAATTTTTGCATAAAACATGTTGCATTTGCATTTCATATTGTTGTGTGTCCTTTGGTTTTGATTTATTTGAATTTTAAGCATATGCATTAATTATATGGGTTGCATAAAGATTTGAAGAAGATTAACAATATGCAACACTAATCTATGTTAATGATTAATTGGAATGGAAAATTTAAAGAATGAAGTTTTGGCGATTGAATGATCGAGAGCAATGTTGCACCGGTACGGATACGGTGACACGGATACGACATGATATTGATATGGGACACTGCAATTCTAACACATACAGGATAAGGGTAGGCACGGATACGGCATTATAATATATAAATCATACATAAAAAATAACAAATTAATCAAAGCATAACATTTGAAATGACAAAAAAAATTGAAAGCAACATCATTTGTAGCATTTTATCATATAATATCAAAATAAAAGTAAGCATTAAATATTTAAATGTCTAGTACAACAAAAACAAAAACATAAATTGTCCAGCATATGAAGTTTTTAATTAAAAGTACAAAGGATTGACACAATTAATCCACATGAATTTGAAACATGAAATTTTTTAATAAAAAGCAAGGTTTTAAAAGGCGAAATTGGGAATCGAGGCGTTTTTTCTAAGCGAGGCGAGGCATAAGCCTCGAGGCGGATCGAGGCGTAAGCCTCAAAACGATTAAAATAAATTAATTTAAAATTTTAAATAATGACAAAAAATAACAAAAATATTATGTGAACTATGAATTTGAAGATTTGTTTTAACATAATATTACTGGAATACAAGATTTAAAATAAACTCACTTAAAAATAAAACATCCCCTTAGGATCAAGACCCAAAGCAGGTTCATCATCACTTTGATTATCTTCGAAAGAATCTTCATAATTAATGTCAAAGTCATCCTCCAACTCTTCTTCATCTATAATATTTTTTCCTTTATCTCCTATATCAGTTAATATTTCATTAGCTCTAAAATGAAACAATAATAACATACAAAATAATTCATTATATTTAAGAATACCTTTAAATTTTTTTGAAGCTCCAATCTCACTTTGTTTCTTTCTTTTATATATTTGGATAGTTGCTTCATTGTCTTCTTCATTGAGAATAGGTTCATTAGACTCAGTGGGAGTCTCAGGACCAACCAAGGCATACAGAGGTGCGCCTTGGGCAATATCAGAATCCAGAACCTTGGCAGTTACAAGATTCAGTCCCTTCTTTGGCATAACGAGGTTGGGTTTGGGGTCTTCTTTGACCTGGAGCTGCGATGGCAGAAGCTTGATCTTCTTACCCGCATATTCAAACACGCAAGTGTTTGAACGCCCATAGATGTGAACAACATTGTCAAAGAGCCTGGCGCGCCCTAAGATGACTTGTCCAACATCCATAAACAGAATATCACATCACACGTTCTCCTTATAGTCAGCAAAGGAGATGGGTATGAGGCTGCGTTCCTTCACCTTTAAGGCAGTGGAGTTGACCCAAGCTACCTTATATGGATTGGGGTGAGGGATAACCAACAGGCTGAGCTTGGACACCATGCTGGATGAGACAGCATTGATGCAACTACCGCTATCCACTATGACCTTACAATTCTTATCCTTAAGCTTAGTGTAGGTATGGATGATAAGGACATCCGATCATGGAAAGTATATCAAAGACGTGGATGACTATCGATGGCCACGATCACACCGATCTATTTTTTATAATTATTGTATTAGTTTTATATTTTATGAGTTTTATTATTTTCTTCCGTTTATACCCTTGCTTAAAGGGTTTAGTCGTATGTGTGCCCTAGGGGCAAGTATGTCTTTTGTTTTCATTCATTATGTTTGGCTATATATAAGCCACTTGTATCTTTTTGGAAGGGGATGATTGATATATAAAAAGAAAAATTCTGGTTTTCTTGCTCTTTGTGAGTTGTTTGTGAGTTTTCCTCCATTCCTTAGTGGGTTGGATGAAGATAAAGTCCTTTGGTGATGAAGGCCACGTAACACCCTAACAGCCGGCGTGCTCTTGGGTTCTATCCTTTCAATTTTCTCACTGTTTTCTTCTTTCTCTTTGCTACCATTTTTCTCTCCTTGCTGTCACTTCTTTCTTTCACTCAAAACAGTCCACTTTCACTAGCCTCCCCCCTCCAAACCCCTTCCAACAACAGCCCGTCCCCACCACCCAGCAAATGACCCCTATCCCACCTCCCTTAACCAATGGCTACCCCAAATCATCCAAATCCAGTAACCACCGAGAGCCCTACCTCCACCACAAAATCAGCTCCCCAACTCCCAAGCCTTCAAAATGACTTTTCATATCCTTTGACCCTTTACATTCCACCAAACCTTAATTAGACTTTCAAATTCTGAAATCTAACTAATTTTGGAGATTTCCCAAGCCACCTCATCCCTCCCAAAATCAGCTATTAATTCTCCATCCACTTTCCCAAACCTTTCCATAATGACATCCACTTCCAATGTCATTTAATGAGCCATCTCATTAACTATTATTCCATTTACCAAAGCTCCAATTAATTTCTCAACTTTCCAATGCCTCCTCATTAATCCAAACTATTAATCCTATCTCATTTCTCTAGTCCCACTTAAATGTTATTAAGTGCAATCATAACTTCTCCCATTACTCATACACCCTTTCCTATGTGCTGCCATTAAGTGCTGGGCTGCTATCTTATGTTGCTGGTCTGTTCCATAACACCCTCCCAACTGTGCCCTTGCTGCTACCCAAGGTTTCCCCATGCTGCCCACGTCGAATCGCTGCTATTTTATCCTGTTTTCGGCTAAGAACTTGACGAAATTCAAGTGTGATTGATCAAGGACACATGAGGCTTCAATCTAAGGTAATTTTCCCTACATATCTCTCTAGTGTTTGTTGTTTTAGGTGGTAATTTATTTTGGAACTTAAATCTTAATTTTCTGCACATATCCATATCCCTACTTGAGTGTATGTGTGAGGTGAACCTAAGTAGTGCAACATTCAAATATTAACTTAGGGACTTTATTCCATGTTTCACAAGATATTTATTTTGCTCATTGAATGAGTTGTTTGGCATGCAATTAGTTTTTCTTTTCACTTAGTAAATTGCTATTTCTAAATCCTTTAAACTTTATTTTCTTTTTCAATCAACCTGCATTTTTTTTAATAGCTCTTTACACCCACACCCTCACAATCACATGCAAAATAACCACCCGTAGGTTTGTCCTGCATCACAATTTCTATTAAAAATGCCTTTAAGAATGAAAATCATTACCTCACTGTAGAGCTTGTCCAGAACTACAGCCGCCTTTTGATGAAACAATCTCTCAGCATCAACCTAATTGAGATGCGAGGTAGTTAGACAAATAGTTAAAAGAAGTTAAAAATGCTAATTGACCTTAATACCATAAAAGAAAATGCAAGATGCCATCCACAAGAGATATGGTGTATAGAAGCATCATAACACAAAAAAAAGGTCGGAGGAAAATATGCTGAGATGGGATAATTAATTCTTATTGTGTGTATTGTGTGATCCTAAAGGATGTTGGAATAAATGAAGTTCTTGAACTACTAGAGGAACTTAAAACCAACACAAAATTGTACTTATTTAGACCCTCGATGCGTCAGAAGCCTTGGCTTTGGTAGGAATCATATATGTGCCATGCACACATACATTTTAAGAACAGAAGTGTCCAATAGCATCTCAGCATCACATTTTCTAAAGCAATAGAGGTCTCTGGCGAGCGAGAAAATATTGTGTAGAGACAGGATGCAGAACGTCATCTAGAGACCAACCAGAATGTGCCACGTCAGCGGTACCGAGCTGCGGGGCCGACTGGTACCAAGCAGTACCAAGCTGTGGTACCGAGCACATGGGTGACGTGGCACATTATAGTTGGACTCTGTATGACGTTCGGTGTCCGCACCGAATAATTAATCTTGGCGAGCACCTTATCATTATCTAGTAATTTGCTAGAATCATTTCATTAGGTTATTTGACCTTTGTTATACAAATAGAGGGAAATATCTATAAAAATGAGCGCTTACGTAACTTCATACTTAAAGAATTGCATCTTCACACATTTTCCTTTTTATAAATCAAAATTGACGAAAATTTACTGTTTACCTATGGATAGACCTATTAAATGTTGAAAGTGAATTCTTATTTTATACACTGCATTTTGATTAATTCTTATTGTATATACTGTACATTTTGGTTCTTTCTTTTATGATTTATCAAAATAGCTCATAAATTTTGTTGACTATGTTGCAATGCTAATATCAGGCTGTGCAAGGACATTTCCCATGGACTTTAGATTATAATGTTTTTAATAGTCGGCACTAATGGAGAAAAAACACAATCTCATATTCCAACTCGAGCAATTTTGTGCATCCATACCATCTTTTAAGTAAATAAATATGCATTGAAACAAGAAAACAATGCATCAAGCTATATAATACTTTCTCTGATCTTTGAAATCTAAAACAACAGAAGCAATACCATTGCAAGAAGCCGCTGGAAAGTAACTTCTTGTTGTTGAGCCTCAACTGATAGCATAGCTTCTGTTGCTTCTCTTCCGAGTGCTGACAAAGCCCTTCTAAGCTCTGATAACTTCAATTCAGCATTTTCAAGCTTAGCAGCACTCTCTGTGCTATTAGCAACTTCCTTTGACCTCAGTTGGCGTTTTAGAACTTCAGCAGTCTAGCTGGCAAAATTTATTACCATACAGACGTCTAGAAGCATCAAATGTGTGGATTTATGAAAGAAATAATACCTGACCCTCGACATCCTGACTGATCTTCTTGTAGCGGTAAGTCAAGTGACGAGCATCCTCTAATGGAGCACCCATAACCATTGCCCTTAATGGTTCATAAACCTATTGAGGAAAAAGAACCTTAAACAATGAATTAGGAGACATTTACAAAATTGTACAAAAAATTCAAACTCAGCACAGCTGCTGCTAAATTCACGGATTTAAGTTTCATCTTAAAATTAAGAGCAGAAAAGTACATACCAAAAAACGTATAGCCAGTATATCCTTTTAATATTTCGATGCCCACGTATTACACTATATTTTATACCAATGGGCCATAATTTCAAGTAATTCTAAGATTGTTAAACATGTTTAATGCTTAACCGAAAGTATTTATCTATATGTTGTTACTGAGCCAGATTACCTGTTCACCAAGAACTCTCAGCAGATTCTCCCGCTCCATTTCCATTAAATTGTGAGAATTGCCAAAGTCACTAGAAGCCCTGGCAAGACCATACCCAGAAGCTTGATATTCATCTCCATATTTGCAACAATCTTGAGCTAGCTTTCTTACTGAAGAAATTTACCAAAAACAGATTTCAAATTGGAATTACAATTACTGTTAAAAAACTAATTGTGAGTTTAAAATCTGCTCACATATTTCTATTTGCTTGGAACTAACAGAAATAAAAGCTTCAACACCACGTGCAATATCCCGTTGCAAATGCTATCAAAGTGAAATGGAGAAAAAAAAAATCAGCAACTCAAGTTATTGCAGGCTACTAAGTTTCAACGGTCAAAATCCAAACAATATTGTCATTTTACCTTTGCTGCTCTAGTTGAGCTATACAGAACTAAAAGATTTTGGTGGCATTGATGTTCAGTTTCATCATGGAGGGCTGAATCATGCCCAAAACGCCCACTAAATTGCTTAAGGACTGCCTGTCAAACAAAAGATAACTTTACAAGTTGAGATCAGCAGGCTAGCTCTCTTCACTTGTTCTCTTACTTTCACGGAAATAGGTAACCGTGAGCAACGAGTTAAGTGAGGATAGGATGGTATAGTTTATCATCACAATTCTTCTAATTAAAGCATCATTAAGAACAAAATCTAATAAAACTATCATAATGGTGTCCTAAATTGAGAATGCTCTTACCTAGCAAAATGACTTTCAAAGCACCACCTAAATTTACCTGAGCAATCTCCATCAAAGCATCTTAAAGATCCGTTCATTAATAAAAGAACAATAATATGAATTTAAGGAATGCAAGCTCTATTACCAGATCAGATTGCCAGTTTCAAAAAAAGCTGCTGTTTTAATGGACCTTAAGTAAAGCAAGAGAACAGTTGAAAAATGTTACGACTCATGTTCTAGAAAAAAACTTTTGAAATCTAGTCTCAAGAAAAGTGGATGCAGTTACTAGACAAATCAGATTCAAATTAGGAAAAAACATGCATTATTAAAGAACTAATCGGCCAAAAAATTTACTAACTCTAGACTTACGATTCAAAGTGCAAAAGAAAATCAAGCAGATATGATCTAAAGATACTCTATCCTAGAAAGGGAAGTGTTTCTTGAACAAATATATTATTGTAAATTCTTTGTAAAAGTGGTTTGAAATTTAAATGAATAACAACTTTAGTAATTATCTGTGTGATTTAACGTAGAAAAATTATATTATATTATCTATTTCAAGGAGATAAGTTCGTAGTGAACTTGTTAGATGGAAAATTTTCAGAATAAATCTGGTGATAAACTCGGTGAACTAGCCCCATAGCAAACTCAGCTAATGAATTCCAAGAACTCAACTTCAATAGTGACCAAGCAAAAGTGGCTTAAGGACACACAGGGAAAGTTGGTGAACTCGTTCCATTGAAAATTCAACTCTTTTTCTTTGGTTAAAAAAAAGGTGAGAACAAACATGATTGAGATATTATTGAAGATGTTTGATTAAATAATCACAAATAGACTATGAACTTAAAGTCAACCAGCTATAAAACGAGAGCAGGCATTTTGAAAACATAGATCAATATTAAAAAAACCTTATTTCTTAAGCGACTACTTGACAAGATAAGAAAAATGTAGATCATATTCTTTGCAAACGGACCAGGCCACGGCTTCTATTTCGCGTCCCTCTGTAGCTCGTGTTCTTGTGGAACTTGATGTTTCTAAAAAATTTCCTTCGGAGGTTTGGTTAGACTCTGAGCTCAACGGCTACTTTCAAAAGGTGGAATTTGAAAACCTTCCTATTTTCTGTTCTCACTGTAAAATGCATGGCCACACTTTCAATGAATGTTATAGGTTGCACCCTCATCTTCGAAAAGGTAATGTTGTGGCTAAATCCTCTCACCAAATGTTGAAGTTCCTTCCGATAATGTTAACCTACAACCTGCGGTTCATATTGGTAATGTTAACCTGGATGTTGTGGAGAACGAAGGAATTATTTCTAGCTCTAAAGATGTCCCTTGTACTGATATTAATGGCTCTTTAAATACTTTGAATGATCTTGTACCTGTTTTACTAAACATTCCTGTTACGGCTCAGGTTTCTTGTGAGATTTCTCATCCTAAACAGCTCGAATCTAGTGGTGATGGTAATGACTCCCTTACTGATAAGGTATCCTTGGATAAGCAAGGGTTGATTGATTCTTCGTCTTTAATTGCTATTAATCCTGATGCTTCCATTATTAATCCTTTAACTACTAATGTTGGTGATGATTTATGCGATATTAGTAAGCAGGAACATGCTCATCCTAATCTTCAGATTATTCCTTTTGTTGGTGGTGAGTTCAGTCAAAAGGATTTAGTTGTTTTAGAGAATGCCCATCTTGGGTTACATATTACTGAGATGGATGGGGATGACTCTTTCGAGGATGGTGAGTTCCTCACCCGTGTTAATGGTACAGAATTTTTGCCGGATTGTAAGTCTCCTTCTAACTCTCTTCCTAACTATGATAACTTTACTAATAATGAGGACCTTGAATTTACTGCTACTTGTTTTGCTAAAGATGATTTGGATACTAGCTTTGTTAAAGGGCAAGGTAAACGTGGGAGAAAGAGTAAAAATTTTATGTTACAAACGGGAAGGAATACTAATCTTGTTTTAAAATCTAGTATCAGTACCAGATCTAAAAATATCCGTTAATTTGTTTTTATGGTTAAGTCGATTATTTGGAATGTAAGGGGCATTGGGAGTGCTTCATCTAAGCCACGGGTTAAGAATCTTTGTCGTATTCATGGTATCTCTATTCTGGTTTTGCTTGAACCCCTTGTTAATGTTTCCAAGTTAACTAGTACTGCTAAATTTCTTGGTTTTAAGCATGCGACGGCTAATTGTGCTAATAAGATTTGGGTTTTTTGGAAAGATCCGATTTATATCGATGTTATTGGTAATTTTAGCCAAGTGCTGCATTGTCATATTGATGTTTTTAATATTAAGTGTTATGCTTCTTTTGCTTATGCGACTTCTTCTCGTGGCATTAGGAAAGTTTTGTGGGATCAGTTAGCTGATTTTTGTAGTTTGCCTTATGGACCGTGGCTGGTAGGGGGTGATTTTAATGTCATCTCCTCTCCTTCTGACTGTTCTGGGGGTTCTTCCCCTAACTCTTATTCCATGGAAGATTTTAATAATATGATTATTCACTGTAATCTCATTGACATTGGTTATTCTGGTAATCAGTTTACCTGGAATAGAGGTCGGCTTTAGCAAAGATTGGATCACATTTTATTTAATAATTGCTGGATTAATTCTTTTACTTCTGTCTTTGTTGAGCATCTTAGCCGCACTCTCTCGGATCATTCTCCTTTGCTTCTTACTTTTAATGCTAATCAGATTAATGATGTTCCTCAATTTTGTTTTCAAAATATGTGGCTTCAGCATGAGTCATTTTTTGGTGTTGTTCAAGATAATTGGAATGCTTGTCTTCATCCTTATAATTCTATTGGGGGTATGAAAAGGCTTTGGTTTAAATTGAAGAGGCTTAAGCAAGTCTTAAATTGGTGGAACCGCCATGTTTTCAAAAATATTTTCACTAATATTTTAAATGCTGAAGATTTGGTTAATGATAGAGAAAGTTTTTGCCTTGATTATCCTACTGATGCTAATTTTGCCTCTCATAGAGAGGCTAAAGCTAACCTTTCTAATCTTCAGGCTCAAAAAGAGACTTTTTGGAAACAAAAGGTTGATTCTAAGTTCTTGGTGGAAGGTGATAATAATACTAAGATCTTTCATGCTCTGGTTAATCATAAACGTGCCTCTAATTCTATCCTTAAGATTGCTCGTGATGATGGGTCCCTTACAGATAATGGTGAGGAAATTTCTTTGTTGGCTATTCAGCATTTTACTAATAGACTCAATAAAAATTTTTCTCCTTCTAAATTGATTAACCCGGCTATTATTGCTTCTCTTGTTTCGGAGGTGGAGAATGTGATGCTTTCTAGCCCCCCTTCTTTTGAGGAATTTAAAACTACTGTTTTTTATATGAATTGCAATTCTGTGGCTGGCCCTGATGGTTTTACTACTAAATTTTTTTAAAAAACTTGGGATATTATTAAGAATGATCTTTGTGCTGCTGTCTTGGATTTCTTTGGGGGTCCATATGCTAAGTATTTTGCTTCTACTTCTATTTTTCTCATCTCTAAGAATTGTAATGCTTCTTGTTGGGATGATTATAGACCTATTAGTCTTTGCACTTGTGGGCTCCGAAAATTCGGCCCCAGCCTCCACTCGCTTTTCTTATTCGGCGAGGGAGTTTTAACGAACTAAGTTCCGAGGTAAATTTTGGAAGGCAGATGGGTTTGTAGATAAGACACTACCCAGAGATTTCGCCCTCATTTTGCGAGGACTTTATGATCTGAGTTCTGGTTTCCTATAGGCGCAAGCCCCTATAGTTAATTACCCCTCCCGATCACGAGAGAGAACTTTCGATTAAGGCTAGTCGTCAATCAGATAGTAGAGAATACGTGTTATCTGGCATATAGTAGCAGCAATGAGTTTGAGATTGGAAAGATTGGATTGGGAAAATTGGATTTAAATTTGGGTATTTGGAAATGTTTGGAAAGTTTGGAAATAGTTGAGAATTTGGGAACTTGAAATCTTGGAGGATTTGATATTAAAAATAGAAATTACACCATCTTGCACTTAAAGCGGATGGTGGGGGAATGGATGATGGGCCCGATCAAGATCCCATGGTTCCGTCATCCCGGGCCACCGTGGTCCCTGGTCTACTTAGTCAGAGGAGGTAGTCGACCCAACCTGACAGAAGGATCCTTGTCGGCAGCCATGGGTTGCTTCGTCCAAGGGAACCTTGTAGACCGGGGTTGGATGTTTGTCTAAGGGGACAAATTTGAATCCACCTTAGCTAACAGAGGGCTTTGTGCCCTATCGATCATATCCTATTGATTCATATCTCAAGGATTTAACGCCATTAAGAAGCGTATTGGCTCTGGCCATAACCGCTATCTGTGGTGCCATTTGGCGGCAAAACCACTCGGTTCAGAGGGCCCCGGGTCATAACCGTTTACCTGCAGTGCCATTTGGCGGCGAAACTGCCGGTTAGAGGACACGTACCACGTCCTTACTGGCAAAAGATTGTTTGAGAATGGATCCTAGTGATATTTTCGACTAGGCATTTGGCTCTTTGTGAGCTAGAGTAAATTTCAATTTGTCCGCCTCGACAAACTGTTGCGGAGGGCGGATGGATTTTGCTTTAAGTTTTTTTGATGGATTTATTTCATTTTAAAATATTTTTGGAATTTTGGGATTTTGAGATTTTGTGAGTTTTGGATATTTGTGGAATTTTGATACTTGTATGGACATTTGGATTTTGGATGATCTTTGGAATTTTTGGATTTGGATTTTTATGAGTTTTTGGCGAGCTATGAAATATTTGGAAATATTTGTGAACCCCTCCGGTTGAGATTTACATTCAACACGGCCATC